TGATCTACCGAGGAAAAACAATCGTAGCACTTTCCGTCTGGTTATAATTGGATAGATAGATAGATAGATAGATAGATAGATATGAATAGACTGAGATAGATATGAACAGACTGAGATAGATAGATAGATAGATAGATAGATAGATAGATAGATAGACATGAACAGACTGTGATAGATAGGAACAGACTGAGATAGATAAATAGATAGATAGATAGATAGATAGATAGATAGATAGACCAAGACAGATGATAAAAAAACTGAGATAGATAGATAGATAGATAGATAGATAGATAGATAGATAGATAGATAGATAGATATGAACGAACTGTGATATATATGAACAGACTGATATATATATATATATATATATATATATATATATATATATATATATAGATAGATAGATAGACAGACCAAGACAGATAGATAATAAAAAGACAGATAGATAGATAGATAGATAGATAGATAGATAGATAGATATAAACAGACTGAGAGAGATAGGAACAGACTGAGATAGATATATACATACATGCATACATACATATATACATACACACACATACACACACATATATATATATATATATATATGTATATAATTGACTTAGATATCTATAAACAGATTAAGATAGACAAATAATGAACAGCTTTATATAAAAAGTGGAGATGCTGGTACGACAAAAAACAAACAAAAAAACAAGAAATAATGAAACTAATGACACCTAGAAAGATTGTTTTGCTCTAATCAAGTAAGTGAGCGAAAATCTGTATTTTTTTTTATTTTCCGTTAGTGAATTACGAGATCACATACAAAGCAGGATATGCACATCCAAGAACATAATTTAAACGAACAAAAACGACAATACTGAAAAGCCATAAAGAAAATTTCCCTTCAGGAAATCCTACTTATTCAATAAACTGATCGAAAGCTAATTTGCATAGACCAAGCAAAACCGTTTAACAACGTTAAATCCCATGAAAGATGGCCCTAGTCGTAACCCGAGTTTCAAGCCGTCTTAAGATGGCGTATGCGAGAAACTCGGGTTATAGCTAGGGCCATTCTTAGGATTTAATGGTGCTAAGCGAATATATATATATATATATATATATATATATATATATATATATATATATATATATATAAGATCATAATGCTAACGAACTGCCATTTTTAAATATACTCATCAGAAATAGAAATAACTAGAGATATCGAATAAAGACTTACACACACCCAACAATGTCTTCATTTCAAGAACCTTCACCTAAAAAGCTGTCTAAAAACCACCCCCTATTCCCTAGCACGTACAATTTGCACTATAGTGACCGACAAACACCCCCGAGAAACCAGCCATGAAGAATAACATAAAACTCACAAAAACTAGGCTATCCCACACCACTAATAAATAAAAGTTTTGAACTAGCAGGAAAATACCTTTAGACCAATTACGAAACGCAAAGAAACACACCAACGATAATTTCATTCATATTACTCAACATAGAACAAGAATAATCCAGAACTATTTACAGAAATTACAAGAAATCTAGACCTGCTTAATAAAAAATAATAAAATGAAAGACAATCAAATATTTAAAAGCAAAGGCCAATCAAAAAGTCTAAGACACATATTAACGTCATCCAAATTTAATCAACACCATAATACAAGGGCTCAGAAAATGCAACAAGAAAATATGTGAGTTTTGTGATATCATTATAGAAGTAAACACCTACACTTTTGAAAACCCCACAGAATATTGGGATTCATGCACTTAGGTGCACAGAATGCAACAAATCCTATATAGGTATCATTCAAGTACTAAACAACTGATTTTCCTTACACAAAAGCAACATTAAATTATCAAACCACAGAAAACTATTTGTGTTACAACACATCCACAAATACAGCAAAGGTAAATTTAAGATTATGCCAATATATGAAACAGAGAATTACTCTTCCCTACAAATACATGAATAAACTTCAAAATACATGTAGTTAATGTATAGATTTATTTTTGATAATGCAATATATATGTATGCAGAACGAATATAAAACACACATACTGACAAAAACAAACACACTAGACGGATCACACGCACACACACACGAATTCTACACACCTTACAAAGAGTATACAGATAGATAGATAGATAGATAGATAGATAGATCGATAGATATTGGTATATACTATTTCCTTGTAATGAAACAATATATATGTATGGAGAAGCAGTATACAAATATACATACATACATACATGCATATATATATATATATATATATATATATATATATATATATAGATAATATTATGGCGGCTTTAATATTAATTTTATAGAAGTTTTTGGATTTGTCGGCTTTAATATTAATTAAAATGTATCTTTATGCATTAGACATCAGTCAACATTCATTTTTTTCTCTTACTTAAACCCCTTCCACCCATCTCTCCTAAAATTCTCCCTGTTAAGGTTTAATCTCCCTCCTCCTCATACTTACACACTCTCTAAATTCTGTTTTTATTTCCAGAGTTTTTTTGAATTTGTAGGTCTGATGAATTGGATCGTATTTACGATTCCAATGGAATAAATTATGACCATGGAATATTAGTGTTTAAGCCTTTTTATCATATATATATATATATATATATATATATATATATATATATATATATATATTTGTGTGAAAAGTGTGTGAATATATATATATATATATATATATATATATATATTTATTATTATATATTATAATTGCGGTACTTATTAGAAAGCGCTCAATATTAGAGATAGAGCTAACATGTTTGGTTGGATTGATGTGAGTTTGTGACCTGTGTTTGTGAAACACAGGGTCACAAACTCACGTTATCAACCAACAAATATATATATATATATATATATATATATATATATATATATATATTAGCAAAAACTGACACATACAACACCAGAATGGAAGAAAGGCTGAAGAAATACAGAGGATATAAAAAATAAGAACATATACCTCCTTCCTTCCTTCCTTCTTCCTTCCTTCCTTCCTTCCTTCCTTCCTTCCTTCCTTCCCCTTTCTCTGAGCGATCCCATTTGTTTTATTACTATTTAAGGAAAGGAAACATTTTTCCGCCAGTTTGGATTGCAATGATTAAATGATTTAGCATAAGAAAAAAATAATTCCTTTGCATAATTTGTGGAAATAACCATTGTTCGCCAGATGAAGGTTACAAGACCCGATACCCGTGTAGCAAAAAATATAGAAAGTAAAGTATAACATATTATAAAAAATCCACCACATTACAATTAAAAACGTTTTTGGCTTCTTCTCTCTTTAAAATATTGACTTTTCTCTCGTTGGAAAATCTATAATCTCTCCCTATATATATATATATATATATATATATATATATATATATATATATATAAACATAGGATCAATTCATTCATAACGGATTTGGAGGTTTTTGTATACTATTTGAATTGTTTGCGATGATGGATGTCTCGCCATTTAAATCATTAAACTTTGCATTAGTTTTGTGAATAATTCATGTATTTGTAAATTGATTGCACGTTTATTTTATATATATATATATATATATATATATATATATATATATATATATATATTCATATATCATATATATATATATATATATATATATATATATATATATATATATATATATATAGTAATAGTTTTGTGTGAATAATTCATGTATTTGTAAATTGATTGCACGTTTATTGTAATTTAAATAACTGATCCAAGTGCGACTTTTAGATAATAAGTGCGACTTTTAGATAATAAGTGCGACATTACTGTAATTATTGAACAATATAGTTCATGCCACTTTGACAGAAAAATTTAACAGTAAAAAAATTTTGTTCATCACCATATTTGGTATAAACGCAAACACTTTAAAAATTCAAAATCAAACTCAGCGTTGCTTTGGCGCGTTCCAAAACCAATAACTCTTTTTCAATAGCATTTTCGGATACAACAACACATATATTTTCGTTGTCCTCTTATTACTAAGAGAAAAAAACAAAAAAACAACATCTATTCTATACCTGAAGATGTCTGTAGGAACAGACGAAAGCTTGTAGTAAAAATAACAACTAATACGGCAGAAATTTATATAAACAAGGATCAATTCATTCATAACGGATCTGGAGGTTTTTGTATACTATTTGAATTGTTTGCGATGATGGATGTCTCGCCATTTAAATCATTAACCTTTGCATTAGTTTTGTGTGAATAATTCATGTATATATATATATATGTATATATATATATATATATATATATATATATATATATATGTATATATATATATATATATATATATATATATATATATATATGTGTGTGTGTGTTTCAGTAAAATGACAGAAAATTTGCCAATTAGCTTGCCAAGTTTTTCTTGTACTTTTCTTGTGTGAGAACAAGAGATTTCTTTTCTTGGTGATAGTGTATGGTACAGTTCTCCAAATGATTGTTTCTTTCCGAGCGTTTTTGGTTAATCTATCTACGACTTTCAAGAAAGTTGCTTGTGTAATTGCAAATAGTGTGTTATTTGCAGAATGCAGCAATAATTGGATTTGACATATCGGTATTAGTTTATCAAGACGGCTGACTTTACATCCCACGGACCATAGATCGAGAAGGACGCATTTAAATCTATAGGAAATTATACCAACTTCTATATGCAACCTACTCGTCGAAAACGCAAGAATAATAATGCATCTAGATGTTAAAAAAAATCCAAAACGTAAAAGAAAAAAAAGATTAACTTTGACATTTATTACGAATACTGGAGTGATTTATTTCTTTCTCAAGTTATTTGAGTGAAAGACATATTCAAAAACGACACGCCAATTCTGAGTCGATAACCGCTAGGCTACGCACATTTTTACATAGCATTGCTCTAAAAATGGAAAGAGACACAGATATTGCCTGATGTTTGCGGCATGCCAACGGTAAAGCCGAGAGAATGAGACAAAGTTTATCGCTAAACACATACAGACATTTGGGTTCCATATTAAAATCCTCCATTTTTTCTTTTTGTTTCTATGCGTTTCATTCTCTCCCTCTCTCTCTCTTAACTGCAAGTACATGCATTCTCTCTTAGCTCTTCACTCTCTCTCTCTCTCTCTCTCTCTGTCCTTCTCTTCTCTCTCCTTTATTTGCTTACAAAATTCTTTTATTCTTATCTTTTCTCATTCTTTCTCCCTTCCTCCCTCTCTCGCTTACTTGCTTACACATTCTTTTATTTTTTTCTCTCTTTCTCCCTCCCTCTCTCGCTTACTTGATTACACATTCTTTTATTCTTTCTTTCTTTCTTTCTCCCCCCTCCCTCTCTCGCTTACTTGCTTACACATTCTTTTATTCTTTCTCTCTTTCTCCTCCTCTCTCTCCTCCCTTGCTTACATATTCTTTTATTCTTTCTCTCTTTCTCCCTCCCTCCCTCTCTCGCTTACTTGCTTACACATTCTTTTATTCTTTCTCTCTTTCTCCCTCCCTCTCTCTCTCTCTCCTTACTTGCTTACATATTCTTTTATTCTTTCTCTCTTTCTCCCTCCCTCTCTCTCTCCCTCTCTCGCTTACTTGCTTAAACATTCTTTTATTCTTATCTTCCCTTTCTCTCCCCCCTCTCTCTTTCTTTGCCATTTGCAGATAAAATACTTCACGTTCAGTCTCTTTTTTCCTTTTTCTTTCCCCCTCTCAGGCAAATTAATTCACTCTTACCGCCTCTCTCTCTTTTTTCTCTTGCAGATAAAATACTTCAGTCTCTCTCTCTCTCTCTCTTTCTCTACTTTGCTTTCTCTTTTTTCTTACCTTGAAGCACCTCTTACCTCTTCTCTTTCTCTCTCTCCTCCCTCTCTGTTACTTGCGCATTCGTACATTCTTATATTCGGTCTTCCTTTCTCTCTCTCTCTTTCCGATAAAATTCTTCACTCCTAATCAGTCTCTCTCTTTCTTTCCCTTTCTTTCTTTCCCTTTCTTTCTTCCTCTCTTACATTCAGGCAAAATTGTTTCTCTCTTTTGTCTTTTTCTTTTACCTTGAAGCATATTCGTTCACTCTTACCATCACTCCCTTTTTTTTCTTCTTTTCCCTCTCTCTTTTTGTAGCTGTCGCTGACCAGGGGCATTTTTACCCTCTCTCACTCTCCATCTTACCCCAACCAACCTAAACAGGCCCCCAGACTTCTAAAAACGCACGTGATTAAAACGCTATCAACAAAAAATAAAATAAATCCAAAGTGTGGAGGCGAAATCGTATTTGAAGAAGTGTTTCAGTTTTTACTTCCGGCTCGCGTTGGTCTTCGCAAAGTTTGTTTATTTTCTTCCCCGGGTTAGGATGATTCAACATGTCTCTTGTCACGTCTTAGTCTCAAGCAAATCGTCAAGACAATACCTAGAAAGACGTCGGCAAGTGACAATACTTAACCAACGGTACGGCACTGATAGAATGAAAGAAGACGTGGTTCCGACGAGAAAACAGAAGGAAATGAACGGGTATATAGAGTCAGAATGAAAGGGATGAAGGATGTGAAAAAAATAGGACAAAAATAAATAATCATAGTTGAAAGAAAATTATTCCAAAGACTTAACATAAGCACATTAAAATTCAATATAGCACCACATCTTCTTCTTCTATTCTCCAGGACGTGAACGATCATGGCTCTCCACGACCTTCTGCTGTTTGTAACTATCACTAAAATTTGTATCTGTCTATATTTCTGAGACGAGGTATTGTAATTATTTAAATTATTTACGTTGTTCCAGCTGTTGTCCTCATCTTTCTTGTCATGTTCAGGACATTTCGGCCGTTGCAAGCTCCGGGCTTCTTCAGGATCTGTCTATATTTCTGAGATGAAGCATTGTAATTATTTACATTATTTACATTGTTTGGAATGTTGGCTTCACCTTTATTGTCAAGTTCACGGCGTTGTACACTCCGGCAGGATCTGTCTATATTTCTGAGATGATGTATTGTAATTATTTACTCCATTTATTTTGTTTGTACTGTTATCCTCATTTTTATTATAATTTTCACGACGTTTCAGCCGTTGTACGCTCCGGCCTTCTTCCGGTTATTGAAATTTCGAACTGAACTATTTATTCCATTCACTGCAGTAGAATGTTCTATTTCCAAGTGCCATGCCTCTCCCAGTGTCTTAGTTATCTCCCTTTAACTCAACTCTCCAAGTTTTTCTTCACCACTGCCGTATCGAGGTATTGAACTCAGCTCTTTGGGTCAAGTCATTGGTTGGACGTTTTTATCCACCGGGCCATGAACATGGCAATAAAGATGAGGACAACAGTCCGAACAATGTAAATAGTGCAAATAATTGCAATACCTCATATCAGAAATATAGACAGATACTGAAGAAGGCCGGAGAGTCCAATGGCCGAAATGTTGTGAAGATGAGGACAACAGTCCGATCAATGTAAATAATGTAAATAGTAAACTTGACTTTTTGTTATCTCTCCCAATCCCTGCCCGGTCGACGATTTACATAAGCTCTTATCCGCTGAAGAGTCGATGGGAAGCCCCGTCCAAGAAACTCTGGAGTCGGATTTCTGAAGGTAACAACAATCAGCTAAGTGACAATTTTGTACCCATATTAAACATATATATATATATATATATATATATATATATATTTATATATATATATATATTTGTTTTTAAGATATATATGTTTAATATATATATATATATATTTTAATATATATATATATATATATATATATATATATATATATATATTTAATCAAATTTTTGTTGTTCAACATCTAATAATAGCAAGGAATAATCATAACTTACAAGGCATTTTAAGGTAAATTTTAATCGCTAAAAACAACCAGTTTCGTCCCAGTCTTATCAAGTTTAATCCGGGAAATAAAATAATAAACGTAAATTAAATTAAATTGAATGTGACTGATGACTATATATATATATATATATATATATATATATATATATATATATATATATATATATAATTTTAAAAAGTGCTCGATACAAAGTTACTGAATATTACTTGATAATTGGAATAAAATCTTTTAACAGCATAATTGTATATAAGGATTTTTGTTTGTTTTTTCCGTATATATTTTTTTCATACTGTCGGATCTATATCCATATATTTGCTTACATATATATATATATATATATATATATATATATATATATATATATATATATATATAATATAATGAATCTCCCCGTCGTTTTCAACGTATGAGTGTCTTTCTGTTCAGTCTTTTATGTTTATATCTCGTTTGAAGTAACAATACTTCACGGAATTTGCAAAGAAGTCCACATGACGGACACCCTGAAGGGTTGACACTCATATGAACTGATGTATTAGCCCAAGATTTAGTGTTAATTCTTAATTCTCTCAGATGGTGGAGACGATTATTTTCAAAGTTAGTTATACCTCGGTAGTCGGCGTTTCTCCAGTTTGCTCAGTTTTCAACAGCATGTTCGGACTCCTTTATAGCGAAGTTTGCAGCATTTAAATTGTATTTGTGTTTATCCTTGAAGCTCAACCAAGGACCGTCTGTGAAAAAGTTGACTATACATGAGGATATTCGGGATCCGATCATCGCACATTCTGATGACAATACTAGCAAATCTGTACTGTGTTTGCATCAGAAACGATTCAATACCACTGATGCCATATTTGATGAAAAGATCAAGGATAAAGATTTTGTCCTGCCGTGTATAACAGCATATTGGACGAAGATAGCGTTTCTGAAAAGTATCAAATTGCTTGATGTATGTCTTGTATAGCTTCCACGGTTTTGACCCACAAATAAGTATGGTGAGAATGACTGCTCGATAGACACTGATTTTCGTTTATATACAGGGTGTCTCAAAAATGTACTTACAGTTTGAATGGCGAGAAAACCTTTATTTATGAACATAGAGTGAAAATGGAATAGCTTCGAATACAGAAGAAAAATGCAATTGAAGAATCATGTTCGCAAATTTTCAAATTGATGACCATTATTGTCCAGACAAGGCTGATAACGCGCACCAAGGGATTCGCAAACGACACGAAACATTTAGGAATATCGCGACATTGTCTTTCAATTTCCAATTTCAATGCATCAATTGTTCTTGGTTTGGGGCGATAAACATTGTCTTATCCCCACAAAAAGAAGTCCATGGGCGTGAGGTCTGGGGAACGCGCAGGGTATTCAACGGTACCCCTTCGTCCAATCCATGTGTCTGGAAAAGCTGCATCGAAGTGAGCTCGTACATCGCGATGGTAGTGGGGAGGTGCTCCATCTTGCTGAAAGTAAATCTCGCCGTCATCACCAAACATCTCTGAAAATTGTGGACCGACAAACTCTTGAAGCAAGTTGAGGTAACTCTCCTCAGTGACAGTTCCGTTAAACAAAAACGGTCCTATGATGCCCAATGCGGATATCTCACACCGGACTGTTACTTCTGGTAAGTTTACATGGTGTTCAAGTGTTACATGAGGATTTATAGGACCCTAGTACGTGCAATTATGGCGATTAATAAAGCCATTTAATTTAAAGGTTGCCTCATCGCTCCACACAATTTTGTGTGGAAACCCTGCATCTGCACATTTTTCCAGGTACCATTCACAGAATTGAACTCTCTGGTCAGGATCGTCTTCATTGAGAGCATGGATTAGTGTTGGAATATAGCATTTCCAGTGCAGACGCTTCATGATACGATAAACGCTATCTTTTGAGATGTGGGTTTCCCGACCAGTTTGTCGAAGTGATTTCTGTGGTGATCGATGGAATGTTTCCTGCACCTTCTCTTCTTTTCCAGGGCTCGTGGATGTCCGTGGTCGTCCAGAACGTTTCTTGTTGATGTTCTGGACGATTCCATCTGCTTCCAATTTGTCTCTGATGCGAGTAATGGTCCGGTGCATTGGTGGCGGTTTTTGCGAATTCCCTTCTGAATCGTCTTTGCACTTCAATGGCGTTTTCGGTCTTCCAGTAACATTTCAGGACAAAATTCCTC